CTCCAGCATTTTTTTTTAAAGTGAGGCAATTGGGGTGAAGTGACTTGCCCAGAGTCACACAGCTAGTGAGTGTTTTGTGATTGAGGCCGGATTCGAACTCAGGGCCAGTGTTGTATCCACTGCGCCACCTAGCTGCCCCCTTGACTCCAGCATTTGAACATAAGCTCCTTGAGGGTAGGGCCTGATTGTATTCCTTTCTTTGTATCCTCTGTGCTTGGTATACAGTAAGTATACAGTGGGAAAAAGCAAGGCATACTCCAAATTAGACCCCTAGGGAATGAAAAGGAATGTAGACCAAATCAAGCCAGAGTTTGTGCAGTGAAAAAATGCAAGGGGTTAGGTAGGCAGGAGACAGAAAATGGAATTTATAGCAGTGGTCCAACTAGGCCTGGAGTCAGGAAGACCCGAGTTCAAATTGTGCCTCAGATACTTACTTGCTATGTGACCCTAGGCAAATCACTTAGCTTCATTTTCCTTATGTATAAAATCAGGAGGTTGCTTGCTAGAGCCATGTCTATGATATAGAATCTGTGATATAGGAACTTCTCCGAAATAGCTTCTTGGTTAGTATCCTACCTCTTAGTACCTGTGCCTGTGTGACCTAGGCCCATCTCCTCATCTATAAAATAAAGGGGGTTGACTAGATGGTTGCTATTCTCTTTTAACTCTAATTCAAAATCTATGACTTGGGTCTGAATTCTGGTTCTGCCATTTACTAAGTATCCACCAATAATCAGTCTCAGTGGCTTTTCTGGGCCTCAGTTTCCTCATCTGTAAAATGAAGAAGTTCCCCTTCCAGCTCTTGGTTTATGCCCTACGTCTTGGCCTTCCAATACAAGAATTCCCTTCCAATCATACTTATGATTGTTAACACAGGGCTCGCCATCTCCTTCCTCCTCACCTTTTCTATGGCTATCCTTCATACATGGAATGTTCTCTCTCTTCCTCTCTGCCTCCAGGTTCTAGTTGCTGTCAACACTCAGGTCAAGAACCATTGCCTTCAGGTGACCTTTCCTATTCCTTCCAGCTTCTATGCCTTCTCCTCCAAGGTTATGGGGAATTTGCTTTGCATAGACTTCCAAAGGCACTTGCTGGAATCCTTGTTAGAACTGGAACTTCTGGAGGGCAGGGATTGCTAGGGGTCTTTTTATCACCTGGAATAGTGTCCAGCCCACAGCAAGCACTCAATGAGAAACACCTGTTGAGATTGCCATCTCGCCCATCTTTGAACACCCCTCCGTGCTAGCTGAAGGTTTTGCCCACAGTTAGGCTTCCATCAGAGTTTGATCAGACTCTCAGGCATCTCAGAGGACATTCAGCTCAATTCAAAACATTTATGGAGCACCTGCTATGTACCAGACACTGGAATCCAATGGGTTCCTCAGTAGGACTCTCCTCTCTAATTCCTGTCAATTGGGGAATGGCTGAACAAGTCGTGGTGTATGAATATAATGGATTACTATTGTTTCGGAAGAAATGGCGAGCAGGCAGCCTTCAAAAAAAACTGGAAAGACCTGCATGAACCGATGATGAGTGAAGTGAGCAGAGCCAGGAGAACACTATACACCATAACAGCAACATTGTGCAGTGACCGGCGTTGTTAGACTTAGCTCTTCTGAGCAATGCAGGGATTGAAGACAACTCCAAAAGTCTGTCTTTTCCAGAGAAAGAACTATGGCATCTGAATGTAGATTGAAGCATGCTATTTTCTCTTTTCCTGTTTTTTGTTTTTTCTTTCTCATGGTCTTTCCCTTTTGTTCTGATTCTTCTTTCACAACATGACTAATGCGGAAGTATGTTTAGTACGATCACATATGTATAGCCTACATCAGATTGCATGCCGTCTGCCGGGGGGGGGGGATTTAGAATTCAAAATCTTATCAAAGCAAATGTTGAAGCTAAAATAAATATTTTTAAAAGGGAAAAAAATTAGGACTCTTCTCTCTAACAGGTCTGATCTCCACTCTAGTGATGGGAAATCCACCAGCTCAGGAAGCATCCCATTCATTCCCCATTTTGGATAGCACTAACTTGGGAGATTTTTCCTTATATGGAACCCAAATCTGCCTCCTTTCCACATCTTCTCACTGCTTCTAGTTTTGCCCTGTAGGGCTAAGCAGAACGGTCTCTCAGGTTCTGCTGAGAGACTTTTGGATATTTGAAAATGGTTACTGCATCCCACTGTTTCATGTGTTCAAAAACATTTACAGAGTTTGCCAGAGGGTGGGCAATTTTGACCTTCTCCACATTCCTTTCACCAGCCCAGGAAGCTAGAGACCCTCCTCTCCCTCTATTTTCCAGCCTATTGAAATATTTACATCTCAGAGTCAGTTCAACCCTCGGTGATCACAGGAATAACTTTAGCACATACCTGAATTCACTCCAAACTGATAAACACTGGCATGACTGAATACCCAAATGGGCTTCCTGAATAAGTGGGCTGCTAAGAGAAACTTTGACAGGATAGATCTTTGCAGGGGTGGGCTTTTTTGTTTAAATATTTTAAAGCGATTGCATTGTGGAGGAAAGGTGTCTTCCTAGTGACAGCTCCAAGCAACAAAATCCTCTGCCTGTTCTTAGAATAACCTTAAAACTACCACTTATCCAATCCCTAACACTTATATATGGCACCAAGGGATAAGTCTTCCAAAAGCCAGCACCAGCGGCAGGGATCTGTATGGAGTAATACTAGCTTACTTTCATCCAGTATAACTTCCTCTGTTCTGTTCTCTAATTAGACTCGGGACCTTGAGAGTAGAGGACGGATATATTCCTTTGCTCTTGATATCTTTAGGTCTTAGCACAGTACTTGCATACAGAAAGTGATTAATAAATGCCTTTCCATGTGTTTCCAAGCTAGCACCTAGCAAATCAGCTCATGAGGTAGGATGGGTAAGTGCATTATTCTCACTTGACAGACGAGACAAAGTGATTTGTCTAAAGCAAAGGAGTAGTAAAGGATAGCTAGGTGGTACAGAAGATAGAGCTGGGGCCCAGAGTCAGGAAGACCTGAGTTCAAACCCAGCCTTTGGTACTTGCTATCTATGACCCTGAGCAAGTCCCTTGCCTTCGGTTTGCCTCAGTTTCCTCATCTGTACAATGGGAATAATAACAGTGTCTACCTCCTCCCAGGGTTGTTGTGAGGATCAAATGAGATAATATTAGTAAAGTGCCTGGCCCATAATAGGTGCTATATAAATGTTCACTTTTAGGATTAAATCCAGAGTTTGAGCACAGGTCTTCCAACTCCACATATAGAGGCTTTCCTATTAAATCTGATGGTAACAAAAAAAATATTCAGTAAACACTTAATAAGTGCCCATTTATGTAACTGAGACTTTGCTAGGTGCTGGATGGAAAGTCTGTCTATGCCTATGTAACACGTAATTATCAGGTTAATTCATTGTAGGGACATAATATTGGGTTCCATTGTAGCCATCACACCATCCTGCCATCTCCCTGCCAACATCTATACCTGCTATCTCTGCTTTCCACCTGTTGCTCTGGGATAAGGTCACGTGTTTAAGGCTAGAAGAGTCCTTGAAGAACATTTAGGACAATCCCCTCATTTTACAGATGAGGAAACTGACTCAGTTAGACAAAATTATGTGCACAGTAATCAGAGGAATATACCATGACTTGTATAAAGCTGTCAATGGACTGCCCAGTAAATCAACTCACTATCACAAAAAACCAAAACCAGAAAAACCCCTCTCTTTCCTAGCCACCACTTCCCTGTATATGTTATTTCCCTATATTTGAACAGAAGCTCCTTGAGGGCAGGGATTATGTTGCTTTTTGTGTTTGTATCCTTAGTGCACAATACCCAATATATAGTGAATACTTAATAAATGCTTTTTCATTCATTCGTTTGTTCTACTACAGAAGTTTTTTTTTTTTTTTTTTTTAGGATAGGCAATGGGGTTAAATGACTTGCCCAGGGTCACACAGCTAGTAAGTGTTATGTGTCTGAGGCTGGATTTGAACTCAGGTCCTCCTGAATTCAGGGCTGGTGCTCTATCCACTGTGCCACTTAGCTGCCCCGGGATTTTTTAACCCTCTAAAGACTTACATGAACTTATACAAAGTGAAGTGAGCAGAACCAGGAGGACACTATACATAGTAAGAGCCACATTGTATGATGATCAACTGTGAATGATTTAGTTATTTTCAGCAATATAATGATCCAAGACAATCCCAAGAACTCATGATTAAAAATGCTATCTGCCCCCAGAGAGAGAACTGATGGACTCTGAATGCAGACTGAAGCATACTATTTGCCCCTCCCTCCCTTCTTTCCTTCCTTCTTTTTTGAGTTTTCTTTCATAAAATGACTTATATGGAAATGTTTTACAGGATTGCACATGTATAACTTGTATCAGCTTGCTTACTGTCTCAGGGAGAGGGGAAAGGAGGGAGGGAGGAATAGAATTTGAAACTCAAAACTTATTTTAAAAAAACCCCTCCAAAACAATGAATGTTTCAGATCATTTTTACATGTAATTGGGGGCAAATATTTTTTAAAAAAGAAAGGATTTCTTCAAATTTCTAGGTTGGAGTAGGTAGCCCCTGGCACATCTTCCATCTCTAAGATTCTCTGAGTGGAATCCCACTTCTGAAATCTTTCTATCTTTATGACCTTGGGCAAATCATTTCCTTTAATCTGGGGACTGGTTTTTCCAAATGGTAGAAGAGCATTTGGTGCAGAAGATGTTTAACGTTCCTTTCATTTCTAAATCTATAATCCTACAAACTTTGGACTTCATTGACTTGGGGAAAGTCACTCATCCTCTTTATGAAGCAGTCAAGGCTGGACTAGACGATCTGGGAGATTTCTTTCAGTTATCCCAATGGGCGCTGCTAAGGGTTGGTTTCAGCACATGAAGTGCAATGGACCACCATTTGACAAAGAACCTATACTCCCTTCCAACTTTGCACTTCACTCCAAACTTTCAAAAGAAAACTATCTTCCGATCTCTTAGTTTGGTCTCAGCACTGACCATCCAAGGCTTGCTGCAGAAATTGTAAATGGAGTGCAAGGAGTTTATACTGGGGAATCCGCCATATTGGAGGCTGATAACTAGGCTGCTGTACTCCTCTGCTAGGGTCATACTGTAGGTGTGCTGCTGAATGAGCTTGAAGGATCTGAGAAGAGACAAGCTGAGGTAACAGGTAACTCAAGATTTGTTTTACTGAACAAGGATTACATGTCTAGCTTTGGGGCTTGAACTTGAGACACTGTCTTTCTTCAATGGGCTTTCAAAGCGATGGAGATTTTTATCCTTGGACTTAGAAGGTACTTTGTGAATTCTGGTTGAATTTAAATGGGTTCAATAGGGAATCACATGCTTATAGGTCTAGAGCCCATATTGTCTAAATTACTCATTTTACAAATGAAGAAACTGAGGCCCAAGTGAGTTGACATATCCAAGGTCACCCAGGTGGTATATGTCAGGCAGAATCTGGGAGGCAGCATACTGGGACGCAACATTGTGTAGAAGAACGAACTGTGACTTGCTAGTCAGAGGACCTGGGTTCAAATCCTACCTCTGATCATAACTGCCTTTGTGACCTTGAGCAAATCACTTAACTTCCCTGGGACTCGTTTTCCTCACCTGCAAATTGAGAGGATTAACTTGATGGGGTCTGAGGTCCCTTTCAGTTCTACATCTCCGGTCCTGTGATCCTATGGTAACCACACTGCCCTTTAGCTAAGACAAATACTTAAACCATAACAGAGGCGGGTATGGACATTTTATCAAGAATGTCAGAATATTTATGGTCTCTTTGGTGACTGCCTTCAGAGGCAAATTTTTGGCCACAGAAGAAATTTTTTAATATTGAAATACAAAATCACATATATAGTACATATATACCTATACATACATACACAGATGTACACATATATATATATATATATATAATATATACATGTGTGTGTACATATACACATGTATATAGACATAGACATGGATCAGTCTTATGATTTCACTGGTCTAGGGAGCTACTGGTTAGTAACTTTACCTACTAATACCCCTTTGCCCCTCTCCTCTGTAACTCATATTTTAGTTACCTACACCCCTGAGAGGTTAAGTGATTTGCCCAGGGTTACACAGATGTTATGTGTCAAAGACAAATCACTTAACCTCCAAGTGGTCTAGGCAACTCTCAAAAATTCTGTGCCACAGAGAAGACATAGAATTCTCTTGATACAGAGATCTCCTCTACTCAATGCCAGTGGAATTACTGCTGTAGTTCCTATCTTAAATATCATGCACTGGGACAGGTTTTGAGAATGCAAAAAGGGAAGGCAAGGGAATAAATATTAACTAAATGCCTACTATGTGCCAGACACTGTGCCTAAGTGCTTTACAAATATTATCTTATTTGATCCTTACAACACTTCTACTTGTATCCCATTTTGCAGATGAGAAAACTGAGGCAGAGAGAGGTTAAATGACTAGTCCAGGATCACACAGTAAATATGTGTGTGAAGCGGGATTTGAACTCTGGTCTTTTTATTATGTACAAAGTAAATTCAAGGTACCGATCTCCAGATTTCATCACCTTCCCTGGTGGGAACTTCTCACTACTCTTTTAAAGCCCTTTTTTCATGTCTAAGCATATTAGAATGTAAACTCCTTGAGGGTAAGAACCACCATTTTTTCCTTCTTATATTTATATCCTCAGTCCTTAGCATAATATGTGGCACATAGCAGGTACTTAATGAAGGTTTGTTCTGCTGACTTTAGAGGCTCAGGAGGGCATTAGAAAGGGGCTGTGTGGGACAGGTAGGTGGTACAGTGGATAGAGCTCCAGTCTTGGAGTCAGGAGGACCCAAGTTCAAATCTGCCTTTAGACACTTGACACTTACTAGCTATGTGACCCTGGGCAAGTTACTTAACCCCGATGGCCTCACCAAAAAGAAAAACATAGAAAAAAAGAAGAAAAAAAAAGAAAGGGGCTATGGTCAGGATAAGCCTTGGATGAGAAGAGGTGCTTGTGCTGGGAAAAACAAAAACAAAATAAAACTATAGAATCTATGAGGGAAGGTCACTCCCAAGGTCACCTAGTCACCTTACTGCCCAAATAGGTTCTCAATGCCTTTTACTTTTTATTAAAATTCAAATTTGGTTGAAGATTTTCCACCACTTAAGATATGTGGAATTTCAAAGTGCCTTCATCTTCACAGGGAATCCCTGCTCCACCCCCAGAAATGCCCCGAGCCATGGCAGTCTGGCCAGAAGGACACAGAGTTCCGGTGTGACCTCTTGGAAAGGGATGGTCATTCATCTGCATGAATGAGGTCTGGAATATTTGTTCTAGAGCTCATCTAGCTCCTTCCTTCCTGCTCCTAACACACGTCATGGAAGATCATAGAATTAGGGAATTGAAGCAGGCCTTAGGGAACTTGTAGACCCGCCCCCTCATTTTAGAGATGAAGTCTGTAGAGGGAAAGTGGTGGTGATTGTTTGTCCTCTGTTCTAGAAAAAGATTGTGACATCAAGGAGGTGATGCCATGTGAGGAAGGGCTGTGCAAAGTCACCAGCCTCACTTTCTCCTCCAAAACCATCTGGGTCTAGTGGTAAGATACAGATCAGGTTGGCTGGAGATGCTCCTGGATGCAATGGGAGACCTTGGCCTTTTTAAGCTAAGGTCTATAACAGGTCTCAGTTTGTCTGAGACAATGCCCATTCAGTGATTAAGGCTAGGTAAGAAAAGAGGCAAAGAATAGTCTCTTTTACCTAGTAAATTATGAATTGTCAGTCATCATCATCATCATCATCAGTCTGGGAGGGGAAGACCCTCAGGATTTCTGGCCAAAACAGAAACAATTGATATTTACATTCACTCTGAGCCAATCAGGGCCCAAACAATAACCAAGTAGGGCTTGGGCTAGGACCTATTGTTGGCCAGTCAATGACAGCCAGAGTGATTTGGGTTTAAGGAATGGTCCTAAAGAAAAAAAGTTTTCACTAATGCATTGTTGGTGGAGTTGTGAAATGATCCAACTGTTCTGGAGAACAATTTGGAACTATGCCCAAAGGGCTATAAAAATGTGCATGCCCTTTGACTCAGCAATAGCACTTCTAGGGCTGTATCCCAAAGAGATCATACAAATGGGAGAAGGACCCACAGGCACAAAAATATTCATAGCAGCTCTTTTTGTGGTGGCCAAGAATTGGAAATTGAGGGATGCCCATTAACTGGGGAATGGCTGAACAAGATGTGGTACATGAATGGAATGGAATACTATTGTACTATAAGAAATGATGAGCAGATGGACTTCAGAAAAACCCGGAAAGACTTGTATGGACTGATGCCGAGTGAAGTGAGCAGAACCAGGAGAATGTTGTACACATTAACAGCCACATTGTGCTATGACTAATATTGATAAACTTAGCCCTTTGACTCTAGGCTCTATATTCTGAACCACCCAGATGCCACAAAGATAAAAACAAAGACTGCTTGCTCTCAAGGGAGAAGAGACAGGGGGAAACCAGAGAGGGAAAGGGGGAGGGAGAGGGGGAGACAGAGAGGAAGAGGGAGAGAGAGAGGGGAAGGGAAAGGGGAAGGGGGGAATAGGGGAAGGGAGAGGGGGAGAGGGGCATCTAAGGATCTAAGACATCTCCAAAGGCCTTATGATGGAAAATGCTATTCCTATCCAAAGAAAGAACCATGGAGTCTGAATGCAGATTGAAGCATATTATTGGCTATTTTTTTCTTCTGTTGTGTTTTGTTTCCTCTTTCTGGTGGTTCCTCCTATTGGTTCTAATTCTTCCTTACAACAACTAATGTGAAAGTATGTTTAGTAGGAATATATATGTATAGCCTATATCAGATTGCGTCATGGGGAGGGAGGTGGAGAGAGAGGGGAAGAAAATTTTAAAACTCGAAAGCTTATGGAAGTGATTGTAGATAAAAGCAAAAAAGAAAAAGAAAGAAAAGGTTTCAGCTATCAAAATGGGAAAAGGCCATGGTAGGAGGAAGAAAACAGAATTAAGAGGAAAATTTGTAGCTACTGACTCCCAGTCCAGACTTCCTTCCTCCTTAAAGGCAGGGGCTGCTTCATTTTTGTTGTGTACCTACAGTGCTTGGAACAATGCTAAGCACAGAGAAGGTGATTAATAATGGCCTAAGAGACTGATTCTCCTATTGTACCTGTGAACAGTTATGACAATCAATCTGTAAGTATTTATTAAGCACTGACTGTGTGCCAGATGTGGGAATAAGAATACAAAGAAACTCAATTTTCTCATTTTAAGGAGGATAATTAGACAAAGTGGCCTCCAAGTTCCCTTATAGTTTTAGATAGACCTATCATCCTGTCACCTTCCCATAAATGCCACCTCCTCTGGGAATAAATACATATCCAGATATATTCCTAGAGTCATACAAGCATCAAATGTCCTAGCTGTATGGGACCTTTGGTCATTGGGACTTTTTAGTCACATCCAACTCTTCTGTTTTGCCATTTCCTTCTCTAGCTCATTTTCCAGATAGGAAACTGAGGCAAACAGGGTTAAGGTGACTTGCCCAAGTCACACAGCTAGTAAGTGTCTGAGGCTGGATTTGAACTCCCGGAGATGAGTCTTCCCGACTCCAGGCCTGGTACTCTACCCATTGCACCACCCAGCTGCCCTATCTCTATCTCCTTTTGGCTTTTGATTGTCCTGGAGGAGGTTGGATCTGGTGAATGGGAAGTAGAAGCCATTCTTTTCTAGTGACTAGTCTTCAGAATGGCTTCTCCCCCAAGAAGAGACAGTGGTGAAGAACTCAATGGAGAGACATTTTCGTTGGCAGAAAGAGCTTTCCTCCACCCATGCCCAGGATGAACTCAGTTGGGGCTGATACTGTAGTTTCCTTCTTTTTCATTGTTTCACAGAGAAGTCAACAGTGCCCAGAGCCAAGAGTCCAGAGACATCTGGAAGTGGAGAAGTGTCCTTTTAAGGCGTGGTTCAGGCCTCTTCCCTGGCATATTTCTCATTGTCTCACTCCAATGCTAAAAACCAAGAGTTTCTATTTAATAAAAGCTGATAAGTTTATATATACACCAAACAGCTGGGATTTCCGAAGCAGCGGAATTGCCTCTAGCCTATCACTGAAGAGATCAGCCCTTGGAAGTTCCTAGGGTCAGCGATTTGTCCATGGCCAGAGAA